GGCCAAATATGAAAATCAAAACATATGGTCTCCACGACCAGTCGCTCGAGCTGAATTACGCGGCGTCTTTGGTCTTCGATAGGCTAATTTAATGTGACAAAAGAAATTTAACCAAATCTTATTATGTAGTAAGGCAGTTGATTTCATTGAATTTAACGATAATTGAAATACAACTTATTACCTGAGCATCACCGTTAACATCAGAAACTTCGGGATGCCGGACTTTATACGCTTCTATCAGTATATCTCTAAGCTTTTTATAGGTCTCTTCGATCTTTGTTGCAACAAACAAACATGTCACGCTTACATCCTGGTTTGTTTGGATAGATCAAATTTAATGAAAATTGTGTGAGATTGTTATTACTTGACTTTAGATATTCGACGATTTTGACAGAAATCCGAATTTAATAATTCGGGTCAATAACAAACAGATTCAAAAAAAAAGACAAAAGTAATCTTAATTTATTTACAGATTTTTGATTTTGCGTGGAAAAATCTTTTTCGGGATGAAACAAGTAAAACCGATTAAAAAGTATCTGGGCCGTGGTTATAGTATTTTGTGGACTATTAGATGGAAATGAAAATATAGAACATTGGCAATGTATCACGTAAATCGAAATGTATTTTATGATAACTCAAGGAACGATTCAAAGGTTAACATATAAAATTGCTTTATTAAAGTAATGATAATTTACAATCCCAATTTATTCCCCACTGCGACAATAAAAGAACACCAGTTTGCACGTGACTTGTTCTCTTTGACAGGTATAATACCCCGAATCCCTTGACTATGGCTAATTTCCGCGGCAGTAAAGTAAGAGCGAGCTCTTCGTTCTTGTACACGATATTGCGTCAAAATTCCTTCGGCAGGACTGGAATCAGCTGTTATGCTAATATCTGTTGGAGAGTTTGAATTCGAGGACATTTGTGTGCCTGTATCTTTGGTAAATAAGGAAGAATGATTTGAAGACAAATTTGAGGACATCAATTGCACTCCCTCCTTGTCCTGTACTGTGACTC